CTAATGATGAAGGTTCAGAATTTCATTTTCAGTGTTCCGTTCGCTGAACCTCCGACGGGTGAGCAACGATTTCGACCGCCGAAACCGAAAAAACCATGGAATGAAACGATCACAGCCAACACGCTGTCACCAGCTTGTTACCAGGTACACTTAAAACTTCGAAAACTTTCGAGAAAGAACAAAAAGGACTCCTTATACAAGCAAGAAGTCAAAGGAAAAAAGTACTAGTGAGAAAAATTAATTCAATTCGATGATAATTTTTAGTGGATTGGAATACTCCTCATGGAATGGCTGACAAGTAGAATTTGGACTCTAATAGCTTTTAGAGGACATTAAAAGAAATTTTCGAAAGAAAGCAAAGAGGCAAAAAACGCAAAGAGCAAAAAGCAAAATGTTCAAGTACATAAGAATAGTATTACTGCATGTACTCGGACTAGGTTTACCCTTCCCAGAGCTTCATACCTTTCCGCAATGTTGGGCAAAAGTCCTCAACTCCATTGTTCTGCAGAAGGGGACCTTCAAGACGTTCTCCCACCCCCGCCACCCGATGTTATTAGCTGATTTTGATCAGATCTGAATTGGAAATAAAAAAAGCTTGGATGTAAAAGCTGAGCAAACTCCAGAAACTGGTTGAAAAACTCGACGTGTTTATGGGCGAAACCAGAAGGCAACACCCAAAACGTTGCAATTTCTAATTATTCTATCTTACTTCTTACTTTTCGATCGGAATGAAATTTGGACACTATTCAACCATTACTACCCCAGTTTTCCGAAAAAAGGCCAGATTTTGATCGACTTTTCCTACGTGAGCAGATTTGACTGAAAGTTGGGTTCTAGGGGTAATTCGACCTCCTGAACGCGAATATCACATTCACTCATTCAACGGCGTGAAACCGTTTGACGCCCGCGCCAAAAACCCTAAATCACCGAATTCGCTGAAAACTTGTCCCCAGGGGTAGTTTGACCTCCTGAACACAAATATCACATCCGCTCCGTACGAAACTGCCCTGCGTTGAAAACTTGTATCCAGTGGTAGTTTGACCTCCTGAACACGAATATCACATCCGCTCGGCCTGAAACCGCTTGGCGCCCGCGCCACAGGCGCCGGCGCCAAAACACCCTAGGTCACCAAATCCGCTGAAAACTTGTATACGGAGGTTATTTGACATCTTGATTACAAATATCACATTCATTTTTGGCGCTGGCGCTGATGGAAGACACTACGATCATCTGCGCTCTGCTAAGGCTGAGCCTGGCCTAAAGGGAATCACTCCTTCTCCCAGGCTCAGCCTTAGAGGGTTGTTTAATGCCTTGATCACGAATATGACGTTCATTTTTCAACAAAAGCGTTATTTAGCACTCTTCTGATGGAAGTTTTTATCGATTTTGATGAAAAAGAGTGTGGCGCCAAATCAGCGCCTAATGGCGTCAAATGGGGCTAGGGCTAAAAACTAATGAGGTATCCGTGATCGTA